TCAGCAGTTGAGGGGTGGAAGTGCAGGGAGAGGAGGACTTCTTTCACCTTGTTGTGCCATTCGCGAGGGGCTTGTTTAAAGCCGTAGATGGGGCGATTCAGCTTCCAGACAGTGTTGGGAGGGAATTCTCCTGGGAAGCCTTCTGGTCTGTCCATGAACACTGTCTCCTTGAGACGTCCTTGTAGGAAGGCGGAGGAGGCATCCATGGATTTGATCTCAAAGTCTTCTCGAGCTGCAACATCCATGAGCGTTCGAATGGTGGGAGGTTTGGATGTGGGGGAGAAGATTAGGTCAAAGTGGCGGTACCGCTGCTGGGTGAAGCCCTTGGCTACGTAACGCGCTTTGAACACCGGTGCCTCGTCTGGGAGCTATTTTACACGGAACAACCACTTGCCCCCGACGATGTTGACTCCTGGAGGTGGAGTCTCGTCGTCGAAGGAGTGGTTGCGAGTGAATGCTGCAATCTCCGCGTCCATGGCAGCACGCCATTCGGCAGCATGAGGGCCTGAGAGAGCCTCTTGGACGGTGAGAGGGATAGGGATGGTCGGGTTCTCCGCGAGGTTGAGGGAGGGTGAGCCAGTGATATCGGGGAAGATGTGTGAGAGCTGAGGAATGACTGCATGGAGATCACACAGCTCCTCATGCCTGTCTTCTAGAAGGGTAGAGGGCACATCCCCCCCAGCAGGAGGAGGCGGTGTGATCATTGTGTATCGAAGAACCATTGCGAGTGGAAGAGCAGCGCGATGGGAGCGGGTGCCATGAGCCACCGGTGAGGAGGGTGGGGCAGGCGGTGTCGGAGAGGGTGACTTAGGAGGCTTGGGTGGGGGAATGGGCCGCCGGCGGTACGTGATCAGCTCGGGCGACTGTGGGAGAGCGGGTTCCTCTGTGGTGGGGGGAACTGGGGGAGGAGGTGGGGCCGGAGGGTGGGACCGCCGATGGTAGGTGATAGGTGCGCTCGGAGGGGGCGGCGCAGCGGGAAGTGAGGAAGGTGAGGGGGGGGGCGGAGCAGCTGCCGAAGACACCGGTGAGGCCGGGTCAGAGACCTCAGAGGGAGATGGTGGGATGGCAGTAGAGGGAGGAGGTGAGGGGGCAGGAGCAGGCGGGAGGTCGGGAGGCGCGTCAAAGTCTGCCCACACGAGGGAGGGTGGATCAGGGAGAGGGTCCCGTCCCGAAGGGGAGTAGAATGGGCGGGTCTCATCAAAGACAACGTCGCGGCTCCTGACCAACTGTTGAGTGGAGGGATTGAGGAAGAGGTAGTCAGGTGAGTCGGCGTTGTGCCCAAGGTAGATGCACGTTTGAGTCTTGGGACCGAGCTTGCCACCGTTCTGGCGTCGAGCCTGAGGGTTGAGGAGGACATAGGCGGTGCATCCCCAAACGCGAAGAGAGCGAGCAGTGGGCGTTTTCCCGAGCCAGAGTGTGGTTGGAGTGGTGTCGGGAAGGTGCGGATGGGGGTAAAGGTTGTAGAGGAGGGCGGCGTGGTAGAGAGCGTATCCCCAGAGAGAGTGTGGAGCGTTGGAGTGGCTGAGGAGGCACCGAGTGATCTGCACTAGGGTGTGGTTGCGGCTCTCAGCTATGCCGTTCTGTTGAGGGCTGTCAGGGAGGGTGAAGTTTTGCTGGATGCCTTCGGAGGAGCAGAAGGCTTTGAGCTTGTCGTTGCAAAATTCACCCCCCCCATCCGAGTGAAGGCGCTTGACCTTGCGGTCAAAGGTGGTCTGTGCCTGCTTGACCCACGCCATGATGACCTTTGGAGCCTCAGCCTTAGTGTGGAGGAGGTGAACAGAGACGTATCGTGAGTGGTCATCCACGATAACTAGGAAGTAGCGATATCCACCTCGTGCAAGAACAGGGGCAGGGCCCCAGACGTCCATGTGCACTAGGTCCAGTGGTGCCGCTGCGATTGTGGGTGAGGCAGTGTGGGGCTGTTGGCGCAGTTTGCTCTTGGTGCAATCAAGGCACGTGGGAGCGGGTGAGTCAGGTGGTGGAGGAAGTGTGGCTGGCAGGCCGAGAAGAAGTTTCTTGGAGGCCATGTCAGCAAGCGTGCGGAAGTTTGGGTGCCCTAACCGATGATGATAGAGGATGGTCGGGTTGGAAAGGCTGCGACATGTGCATGGTGTGATGGGAGCCTGTGCTTGGGTGGTTGAAACCTGTGGGAGAGGAACGCGTAGCGTGTAGAGGCCGCTGCTATTGAGGGTGAAGCGGGCCAAGACCTTGTTGGTGAGTGGGTCAATGATGTCGCAGTGGTCCTCATTCTCCGAGAAGATGGTGCGTAGCCCTGCTTTCTGAATTTCTGTTTGAGCCACTAGATTGTGGCGTAGTGAAGGCACGCACATTCCAGTGACGGTGCCGGAAGGGAAGGCTGGGCATGGGACTGTGGAGGTGCCCTTGGCTAGGGTGGTGAAGCTGGAGTCAGCTCCCAAGAGAGGGATAGGTGCTGGATAGGGTTTGAAGGAGAGTGTCTCCTTGAGCACAGTGTGAGTGGCCCCGCTGTCGAGTGTGAACTCTATGTACTGTGGTGCCTGTGATGAGTCGATGTACTGGGAAGTGGCTTCATTAATCATGGCAGTGCCAGGAAACAACAGGTTGATACGCACATCAACAGGAGCACTATCACTAGCACTAGCCGAAGAGGGGTCCTGGACCTCAACGAGATTGGCCTTACGAGCGCGCATCCAGTTTGGCGGCTTCTTGTCAACCCCGTGGATGGCATACCACTCGTCGTCTTTCTTCTTGAAGCACGTGGCAAGGGGGTGGTTAGTGCCACCACACACTTGTCCCTTGCGGTTGCCATACTTGACGACGTAGGTGCACGGAGGAAAGCGGTTGCGCTGGAAAGGCGCCGAGGCAAGGGCCGCTGCAACACTTGCTGAGGGCATGGGAGCACGGATGGCGTATGCCTTGGCCTGAGCCATGGAGTCTTTCTCGGCAGAGAGGAGTGCGGTGGAGACCTTAGCAAAGGTGAGGTCTTCCGCTGAGAGCGCGAGGAGCATCTTCCTCGTGACTTCATATGCCGAGGAGAGACCAACAAGAAGGGCGGCTGCAGGGGCTTGTTCGGGGAAGACTATACCCAGCTCCTTGAGTTCACCATGAATGGTCTGCACCTTGGCGATGTAGTCAGCCATTCCTGAGCAGTCCTCAAGACGGACTTGAAACATGCTGGGGATGAGAATCGCCACTCCGACCGCCGTCTTGTTCATGAACCGATCCTGGAGATACTTCCAGATGGCGTTGGAGGTAGGGTAGTTGTGGAACGTGTTGACAAGTTCGGGAGGGGTGGAGGCAATGAAGACGCTGATGATGGCAGCATCGGCCTTCTCCCACTTCCGGTACTTCTCAACAGCTTCTTCGTACGCCATCACGTCAGCATCACTTGAAGATTCGGTCGGTTCACGGGGAAGAGTGGGCTGTTTCCCCTTGCCACGGTTGAGGAAGACGTCCTTGAGGTCAAGGCCCTGCACGTCACGGCTCAGGAGGTGCTTGTCAACTCCGTAGCTCCACGCCTTGAAGTTGGAGCTAGAGCCATCGGCTTCAAGGCGGAGCGGGGTGATGGGGTTCGCCATGGTGGAAGACGAGAAAGCCATGGTGGAGACCCCTTAACTTCTCACGCGGAGCGCCGCTCTTAAGTCACCGATAGGAACTTGAGGTTTGGGGTTTCCAAAGGAAATTTTGAAGAACCGGAGGTTTAGGGTTTACGAAAGAGAATATTGAGGTTTAGGGTTTCTGAAGGAGAATTTGACTGAGACGCCAATTTAGTGTCTACTACCTACTAATCCTATTCCCACACACCCCCCCACACACCACCCTCAGCTTCGCGGCTACGCTGCTGCTCGGCTTCGCGGCTACACGGCTGCTCGGCTTCGCGGCTACGCTGCTGCTCGGCTGCGTTGCTGCACCAGTTCAGCTGCGGGAAAGAGGGGGGATGGGGGTAGGAGTGCAGATGCGGGGCGACGGGCGGCAGCCCGAAGATGACGCTGCGGGGCGACGGGCGGCGGCCCGACGAGAAGCAGCAGAGCGACGGGCGGCAGCCCGAAGAGAAGCTGCAGGGCGACGAGCGGCGGCCCGACGAGAAGCTGCAGGGCGACGGGCGGCAGCCCGACGAGGAGAAGAAGTGACGAGAGTGACGAATTGATGAAAACGAGTGTTAGGTTAGAGCGCCGACGATGCGCTTACCAGAGAAGTTTCCGTCGATGGTGACGGGAAGATGTGGCGGGAGGAATTCCGCCGATGAATGTCGCGAATCAACGGCGACGAGATTGGCGATGGCTTCCCCGAGGTTTGCAGGACAAGTATCCGTAGAGATGAGAGGATCACGATCCGCGTATGCGGTTGAGCTGCTCTGATACCATGTCAGAACTTGAGCTTAGAATCGATACTATAGTAGTGAGCTCAAAGCTCTTTTAGTACATCCGGAATGAGCAAGGTAGGGATGAGGAGGGAATCAGGAGGCAATCCTAGGGAATCAAGGGTAATCCCAAGGCAATCTCCAATTGGTGGGTTGGAGATTGCTTGGAGATTACATTTGGGTCTGGTTGGGATGTGGGTGTACACCCAACCAAACACAAAGTGCAAACTACACTAAACTAGGATATAAAAGTACAAGTACAAAATGTGAGATTGGGGCCTAACACCAACATCACACTGTCACAATGCTTGCCTCTTTTGTCCTTCTAACGGAGGTAGTTGCGAGAGTCGCAACAGAAGCATGGGAGACGATGTCTCACCTGGATTACGTGTGACTGTTCGGGGAGAAGCAGGAAGGCCTGCACAAAGACAAAGCAATCAGAGCGAAGATAGAAGACACCATGTAAGATTCAGAAAATGTGTGACTCATATCAAATTGCAGTCACTTTCAAATTGACCTCCATCGGTAACCTCATCAGCGCCAGAGCTAACCTCATCTTCACCAGCACTACCCCCATCGTCACAATTCCTTACATCACCATCCACTCCCTCAGTCTCGTTGCCACCTCCTTTACATCCTCCGGACTGGACCTCCCATGTTGTTAACCACCATGCCAAGCCCATCCACCTGAAAGCACACACTGCTTACCTGTATCCACTGTCGATTCAAGAATGACGTGCCGCTGAAACGGCTTCACAGTGGTGGACGCTACGAAGCCAAAGAAGAAGGCGGGCTGATCAACTGCACCCTGCAGCACCTCACACAGCGCCAGCCTCCACTCCAGCACCGCTTGCTGCGGCTTCTCCTGCGAGTCAGCCAGGAAGACCTGGATGGTGCCGGGGTCTCCTGGCTCATAGTCCACCCACGCCGTGTACGCCTTCCTGTTGCTCAGACGGAAGGGTGACCTCACAGCGACTAGCGATCTGTCTTCGCCTCGAACGTTCAGCCCGACATGGTGGCTGCTCATGTCGCCATGCTCCTTGTTCTGTATAGTGTCAAACTCCACCGCCATGCTCCGTGTGTCCATTCCACCATACCCCACCCCAGCGCCACTCCCCACCTGGTCCGTTGCCGAGATGACAAACGCTAAGCCGTTGAAGCCCACGTGGCCAGATCGAGGCAAGAGGGAGAAGGTAAAGTTGGCGTGAAAGGCGAGCTGCAGCCCACACCGCGACAGTCCCTGGTTTGCCTCGTACACAAACAACTTCACCGGCTCTGCGGTGAAGTTCCCCTTCGTCTCGCGCTGCCCCCCCCTGGTGAGTATAGATGCTGGTGGGAGAACCGCTTGACTGCTTGAGTAGTTTTTGTTCTGGCCTGCACAAACATACCAGACGGATGGACAGAAGTGGGATATGTGTAAGAACTTGAGCGAGACTTGATTGATTTAATAAAGGAGCTCAAGAATTCTAAGTACATTAGAAAATGGGTGGGAACAGATGGGCAGGGGATTGGGGGCAATTCCCAATAAGATCGACTGAAATCTTCAACTGGTGTTGGAGTTGAAGGTTTCAGTTGACCACATCACATTTGGGTTGGGTTGGGATATTGGTGTAACACCCAACCACAAAAACTACTACACTAAAGTAGGACATTAAAAGTGCAAGTAAAAGACGTGAGGTGGAAGTCTATCGCTAACAATATGGAGGTATGACAGGGTGATACCTAAGAATTCCGATCAACAAGCGACTGGAGTTCATGTGAGTTGGACGTCCCACCATTCTGTAAATCAGTATGTGGTCATGTTTCATAGATTTCAAGTGGTGTCCCCTACCTTGAGCAACACAGGTGATCCCTCCAAATTGCACGAATCCCGCATCACACAGACATGTGGGTGCCAAGCTAGCCCCCTCTGGATAGCACACCCCATGTCCTCCACACGCAGCACCAGCAGCAGCACCAGCAGCAGAGGAGACGCCACAGAATGCATTGCATGCTGCCTCCTGTCGCTGGGGCACCAAGGCACAGCCAAGCGGCAACGTGAAGCAGTTGGCATCAAAAGAGTGAGGCTGGCATGCCCCGTCGGGCAGAGGGCCCGAGAGGAAGTTGCTGGAGAGATATAGGGTTCGCGCAGCAAGGAGCTTCAGTGCGCGGCCTGTGAGGTAGTTGTGAGAGAGGTCTCTGCAGGAAGGAGGTGCAACTGGCGGAAGAAGGATGGGTGGGGATCACCTCACTGCACCTGGATAGAAAAAAGTGGAGTGCACTGAGCGAAGATGTGAGGGGTTGTTGAGAAGAATGGGTATACGGATGGGGGAGCAGAAGGGGATAGACACGGGCTGGCGGAGGAGAAGAATAAGGAGTCAACGAGAAGGGGAGCAGAAGGGGAAGGTGAGGTGGAAGAGAAGGATACAGAAGAGGGAGAGGAAGAAGAGGCGTACGAGGATGGTTGGTTGATTGAGACCAGGGAAGAGAGAAATCCAAGATATGAGGAAGAGAGAAACGAGGAAGCAATCCGAGGAATGTGAAGATGGGTATACAGGGCACTGGCACAGCAACCACGGGCATTCATGTGGTTTTCTATTGACTGGATTGACTCTTAAGTGGTACTGGGTAGTGTTCAATGTTATAGACCAGCACTCTAGGATGATGATGCACCAGTATGCGAAGTGGGATGCTGCTGGTGGGCTTTTTGAAGGAAAATTTTTCATGAAACTAGGGCAGGAAGAAGAACAGAGAGATCGTGGGGCTAACCAAAGTAAGGAGAATTCAACTGAGCACCACATTTGAAGTACAGCAACCCATCCATTCAAAACAATGGAAAAAGGGTGCACTCCACGAATGACTTCATTGCATGGACACACGTATGTATCAAAGTCACCCCCTTGTGTTCTTAGCTCGCGCTCATCATGAGAAAAGCTCTCGTGTGAGAGGAAATTGACAGCACTAGACAAGAGGGCAACTGACAGATGAGAAACTTGGGTGAGTGTGCTGATGGTAGCAGGAATGCTGCCAGACAGTTGGTTGCTCGAAAAATCTCTGAGTGGAAAAAGAATGCCAAATTATAAACACCACTGAGGTTATAGTGAGGTGAAATGATAAAAGTACGCATGAGCACAACAAATTACCGCGGTTCGGTTCAGGGCGGTTCAGTTCGTTTTTTACCCAAACTATACCGTTTTTCTTTTTTGCGGCCGTTATTTTTTTCTTCAACAAATTGAACCAGTTCTTCTGTTCGGCCGGTTTGTTTTCAACAACTATCCGAGCCACGCCGAAGCTCCTCATAGCCTAACATTGGTGTGTTTCCCACGGTTCTTTTTAGATAACAGCTCCTTTTTATGTTTCAGCCAGTGTAACGATAGTGAAATGTTCAAGGAGAGAAACTTGGAGGCCGTGGTTGTGAGAGCAGCAGTTCTATTGATTAGACTGTTAAGATACATTTGAGCAAGGAAGTTGGGAAAACCTAATCAACCCGACCCGTGGTTTAGGGCTGGTCGGGTCAAGGATTTCAGAAATGTGCCCCGCGCGGGTTGGCCCGATCGAACCCGAGCTAAAACCCGACCCAAGTACAGAACTTGGGCCGAGTCAGGGCCGGGTTTTGGGCCAGGATTGACCCAACCCGATTTCAACTCTGTAGGGTTCGAAACCCTAGACAAATTTGATGACGAGGATTAAGAAGTCCCTCGACATCAGAACTTGGGCTGAGTCGGGACGGGTTTCGAGCCAGGATTGACCCGACCCGATATCGGGTCTTGGTCGGGGAATTCGGGCCGGGCCAACTCTGTAGGGTTCGAAACCCTACATAAATTTGATGTCGAGGATTGAACGGTCATCAGAACATGAGCACGCGCCACGCCAAAGTAGCCAAACTTCAGCCACTAATGTTACCTAAGCTAAGTTAGTAGCTATTTTAAAGCCTACAGAACCATGTTTTCCGACATTTCTATTTACTATGAAGATGATACTCTGCTATTAAAGGAGACCGCACTGGTGGGATAGTATACTCACGAGTTCACGTTTTACTAGTGCGATTTCACCTTCGAGGCTGCACGCGCCATGTCTTAAAACAACCACCGTTCATAAGTGGGCCCAGCACATAAACTAGTACCAATTCGTACTGATTGACGGGCGCCGCATGCACAGCACTTTTCACTACAGCTAATACACACCCGTACCCCGTAACAGGGCGGGTCAGCCTGGTCCGACCCGACCCGACCCAGGGTCGTGTCAGTTCTGACCCGAATTTCAAAACTCGGGTCGGGTCAGACCCTCCACAAGCTTGGCTCGAAGCTGGCCCGACCCGGGAACCCATCTGGCCCAGCCAAGTCGGGTCGGGTCGGGTCAGGCCGGGCCACATGGTCATGACTAGGTGGAAGGGGGCATCGTAGACTATGAGAAAATTAGAGCTTGAAATAAAGCTACAACACTCTCTGGTTTCAAGGTTATATTCACACCCAAACTGGTCTGTACTAAACTTGTGGCTCAAGGACAATGGCTCAATTCAGAAAAAAACAAACCAAACTGCACAGAACCAAATCGTGTTGATCCGATCAAGCACTAGGATGAGAAGAAGGCTGATGATAGTCTCGCGGGATTTGGTGTATGTATGAAAGTAGGGGAGTAAGTAGAAACCAGTGATATTGTGATGGGAAATAGAATGGGGCTACTACACCAGGAAGATTTTATCTGACACTTTTCACCACACCCCATCCAGTCACAACTCTGATCATGGGATCTAAATGGGTGCTTCGCAAAAGACTTTAATGCATGCATGTACGCCCCTAATGTTGTTAGCTCACGCTTAACATAAAAAAGAAGCTCCCCTGTGAGAGGAAACTGACAGCACTAGACTAGAGTAGAGAGTCACTAACAGGCAAAGAAGTTGGGCGAGTGTGCTGATGGCAGCAGGAATGCTGCCAGACAACTGGTTGCTTGAAACGGCTCTGAAATGAAGCCAGATTATAAAATACCACTGGGGTTATAGTGACGTTGTAGCATACAAGAGAAGACCAGACTGAAGCGAGGGAGGACAGCGATGAGGTTGGGTAAGACCATACAAAGGGTGATTAGCATATGAAGATGGTCGTCCTTTGGAGAAGACGAGACGAGGCAAAATGCTAGAAGAATGTGAGGCAACACGAATATTGGAATTATGATATTACGACATCCACTTGCAGAAAATATATTGTGAGAATTTGATCACAAGAAAGAAGAGAAGATCTCAATGAAGGGAAAAGGAAGTGAACAATCGAAACAGGGAAGTGAAGGGATATAGGGGAGAACTGAGGGAGATAAAAGAGGTCGTGCTATACTGAAAAGGGGGGGAAAGAGTCCTGGGAGAGCACAGGAGATATGAGAAGAACAACAAAAGCGTATCTTCTTACATAATTGTCAACTTGGTGAGGGCGCCAATGTCTGCCGGAATGGAGCCGTTGAGCTGGTTGGAGACCAGCGACCTGTCCCAATCAGGGTGTTCAATCAAGGCATGAGCAAAATCCGTGTCGTGTGCCTTAAGACTTGAAGGCTTGAAGAGCGCGGTTCTGAAACTCTCCACCCCCATCTGGTGCGCAAGTGGTTTTGGTTCGGTTATTGCTCATGCCTAGGAATGTGGGCGAAGCACCTACAATGGATCCTTACATGGCTACCAGCTTTGTCAGCAAGCCAATGCCAGCGGGGATGGAGCTGGTGAGCCGGTTGTTAGCGAGGGAGCTGTCCGAGACAGGGAGACGAGGGACACGTGGGAGGCGTGCAAGGGCGATGGACAAATTGGTGAGAAGGAAGGTGGGACGGTGATTATTAGCATGAGACTGGACATGAGGAAGGATCAATCGGGTTGGCCCATTTTGAACCTCACCAGCCTGATGGCCAGGTGGGGTCCCAATCAGCCATGGGCGGTTCGTCACAGGGTTGCCCGAGTTTGGCCTGAATCACAAATGCTGTAAACGGACTTTCCAAGGCTTAACTGTTCTGTGAACGAATGTTTGAGCACATAAATGGAATAAAACGATGTGGTTCAAACACAGAGAATCACTGTCTTTGGAAAGCTGCCCACCTTGATTTGTGCCAGCCCTGCCCTGGCTCAGCCCTTGATTGTACCTAACTTGTGCTACTACAATAGCTTTTGTTGCACACTCTGCAAAGGTTTCTGACAAAGAAAAACAATACAATGGATTATTTACAGGAAAGTAAGAGCAGTGAGCTTTGTGATTGCGGAGGGCAAAGATCCTGAGAGCAAGTTGGAGTTGAGAGAGCTGTGGTGATGATGTGGCGGGTCACGGGTGGACGCACGGAAAGAAAATATGAGTTCATTGGCGTGTTTGCAGGACACGATAGGGAAGGGAATGGGGCCAGTGACGAGAAGGAAATGTAGAGGTCAAAAAGGTGACCAATTCGAGAGAGACGAGATAGTAGGTTGGGGGGGAGGGATCACACATTATCAAAGGCTTGCTACGACGGACGAGCCACGGGCCGAGTCAGCCCGGCCCGTCGAGTGGAGACTCCGGCTTGGCTTGTCAGCCCACCGGCTTTCCATGGCCCAAAAACGAGCCAGCTTAGCCCAGTCTTATGCTCGTGTGGCAGAAAGGAGCCTTACAGGGATGCCAGAGATAGTAGAGAGCCAATCTCCACAGGAATTGAACCCGTGAGCTGATTACTCTCGAGGGACCTGCCATTGCGTACGAATGCAAGAAGGAAGAACCAGACCAGCACTCTAGGATGATGATGCACCAGTATGCGAAGTGGGATGCTGCTGGTGGGCTTTTTGAAGGAAAATGTTTCATGAAACTAGGGCAGTAAGAAGAACAGAGAGATCGTGGGGCTAACCAAAGTAAGGAGAATTCAACTGAGCACCACATTTGAAGTACAGCAACCCATCCATTCAAAACAATGGAAAAAGGGTGCACTCCACGAATGACTTTATTGCATGGACACACGTATGTATCAAAGTCACCCCCTTGTGTTCTTAGCTCGCGCTCATCATGAGAAAAGCTCTCGTGTGAGAGGAAATTGACAGCACTAGACAAGAGGGCAACTCACAGGAGAGAAACTTGGGTGAGTGTG